GAATTGAAATTGAAACAAGGGCCTGAAACAAAGTAGATAACTAAAGTAATTAGAATCGGACACTAGGAATATTTCTCAACAAACTGAGCAAATATTACACAACTTTATAAAATATGAACGGCAATCTATAGAAAATTTATAGAAGGCATGACTGTTGTTGGTTAAAATTTTGATAGACAATATGTCGTCAAGCTTTATAAATAAATAAATGGTAAACATTATATGCTAACTCGCTCAAAGAATGTTTTGGACTTGGAGAAGAGATTTTTTTTTAGGTGTGCTATGTAAAACATGTGGAATACTTGTTCAAGGGAAGTAATGCTGCTTCAAAAATAAGAGTATAATCACAATCTAAATTATGTGATCTCCGTTTTGGACAGAGCTTGAAACGGAATAATTTCCTAAGAGATCACCATTCTCATATGTGCTTGTTATATGTTATCTTTTTTAATTAACTTGGATTCTTTGCCCGTTATTAAACAAACGTCCATTAAATATAAAACATATTACAATAATTTACATAAAAATCAGCACATTGTATGAAAAAAAGAAGACGTAACAGAGAGGTTAAGTAAGCAAGTATTGCCAGCATTTCTCCATCATTCTTTCACTTCAATGATATATTAAACTTGAAGGAGGGGTTAGAAAATTCAATTAAAACTTTTATAGTTTTCTATTGTTATCTTATTGACTAAATTATAGATTGTGAGGAAAGAACAAAGCCTCCATTGTGGTCAAGAACTTAATGCATTCACATGCATAATTAAATTTAAGTCCTCGCTAATTAATCACCACGTTTATGGTACTTTTTACTTTAACTTTTTTTTTTTAATTTTTTTTTTTTTTTAGTTATCAAGTTTAATACTTTGGCTTTAATCTTTCGAACTTTGTGTGCCACGTAAAACATGTGGAATTGATATCAGATATAACGTCAAGCATATTTGCATACTTGTAGAACAAAAGTACATGGAACCCACAGTGAAATCAAATCAATATAACTTGTAAATATCACTTGAGTCCATTGATTTCTCCACAAAAAATTTACATGTGGGAACTCTAGTTCTTGTGTGTGTGCGATTGAAGGTGTAATTTAAAGTATAATTTTGCAAACACGCAAAAGAATGGATCAACGAAATGATGTTGTCTTCAAACAGAAGATATACTATTAGTCTTCAGACCTGAGGTTGTTCTGTGTCTCTCTAGTTAGGAATTAACACACTTGATTTCCGCCATTGATCAACCTTTGCTTGATTTTGGTTAACACCCGTGATTTCAGCCATTGATCAAGCTTTTGTTGATTTGGGCTAACAGTGTGATAAGAAGAAGACATAACAGAGAGGTTAAATAAGCAAGTACTGCTAGCATTTCTCCATCATTCTTTCACTTCAATGATATATTAAACTTGAAGGAGGGGTTAGAAAATTCAATTAAAACTTCGATAGTTTTTTATTGTAACCTTTATTGACTAATTAAATGTGTACTGTAAGTTCCATGGATGAATATATTTAATGGGATCAGCTGAATAGGATATGACTTGGAGTCTACATACTTTATTAATGTGAACCATTGACATTAATTGGATGGATGAAAAGTTGTAGCTGTCTTTGAAGTATGAAATGACATGTCGCCCATGATACTTTTATTTACTTTATAATAACTTCAAGCTCCAAGCATTCCAGATGGTATTGACGTATTCTTAAAATCATTCTTAATTTCTTGATGATTTAATGGTGATGAACAAACTTTCGTATCCAGAGTTGAAGTAGAAATTAGTTCATTATCAACCAAACATCAAGAATAAGTTTACACCAACGTACAGACAGCTCAGACTATCCCAATTTTTGTGAAAGACTTGTACATAGCTGAATATTATCAAAGTGTAAATATAATTCTTAATCCAATCTCTGAAATTGTGATGCCTGTGTTGAACCTGGGCCTAAATTTCCAGTTAAATGCAGAAAACTGAGGTCTTGCTTTTCCACATTGAATTTAAGACACGCTGGAAAATTTGAAATCTTCATTGGAGGTGAACTTTTCCACGCAACTTCTCAAAGTTTTAATGCTAGATATCTACTGAAGGATAAAAAAGGCCAAAATGTTTCACATTACTTGAATTTAATAATGTAGTCAAAGATAAAGACTCTTGAAAATGAAAGGACAGCCTAGTATAGTGATTGCCTTATCTCGAGTTCATTTCCTATGAATTACTCTTGAATAAAATTCTTTTCTGCAAACGATTTGCCACTTCTCCAAATTGAATTCTGAAGGTATTAATAGTTGACTTGGAGTCTACTCTGTTAACGGAGGCTAACTTTTCCAAGCAATTGTATAATTGTTAGAGTCATGAAAGTGATTCTATTTTGTTAATAAAAAGATCCCATATGTAATTGAATTGAAGTTATATTGAGATAATTAAAAGAAATTATGAATTTATGTATAAAAATCATATTTTGAGTTTTTCTTACTAATTTAGCATATTTGGGATGAATTTGGAAATGGTGTGAGTTGATATTGGGTTGTGGTTTATGGATTAGGGGTGATTTTGTCTCATTTATACTATTTAGGGGGTAAAATGTCATGTTTCAAGAGGTTTATTTTATCACTTTTCAATCATGTAGGGACCAAATTGAAATTTACCACATATTGTAGGTGAAAGGTCACAAAAGGGAGAGCCAGCCGCTAGGGACTTCACCCATAGCTGGAATTTGGTTGCCGGCCGGCGACGTTTCATCTTCCAGGCCGGCGACGCTTCACCTTCTCACGTTGACCAACCATCCTCCACTGTCATTCACGCAAGTCGGCGAAGACCCACCGTTTCCACGCCATGACTCTTCATCTTCCACCAGAGTTTGCACCATTTTCCGATGCCGATTGAGCTTCTTTTGTGCTGCCCATAACCCCATCAACTTCCCCTCACATTTCCGCCGTCGATCTCTTTTTCTGGCGAGATCCATCACTTTGATCTGACGACTCTTTAACTTCCCGATGTGATTTTGCTCATTTTTTGGTGACCTTTTACCTCCCCAGGACCTGATCTGAACTCCCCATCACCAGAGCTTTCCATCGGTACCTTCGGATCCCATTTCTGCCACCATTTTCTGGAAGACCCGCCAGAAAATTAACGTTTTTCGGCGCTAGCATTCATGTCATCTTTTTGTTCTTGCATGGTTTGGAGCATTTGAGCCATCATTGATTCCAATGAACTGGGCACTGGAGTAGGCTGTTGGACGGGAGGTGGGATCCTAGGTTGGGCAGGTGGTTGGACCGAATACATGTCCCAATAATTGCCCTGTTGATTGGAAGAACTATATGGCATATTGTGGGAGACATTATGAGATTGTTCCTACTTCCATGCAAAATTAGGATGGTTATGCCACTCACTATCAAATGTGTTCGAATACGGATCATTCTGTCTCTGGAAACCTTATGCATCTTGCACTTTCTCCTCAAAAGTGTACGGAGCTGGTTCCTCAAATGTGTACTCAATAGCTAAAAGGTCTGAAGGCATCGAAAGGACATCCTAACTTGTCTTACCGAGAGGTGGTTGCCTAGAAGCTTGCCCTTGCATGGATATGAATGTGTCAAATTGATAGGCTAAAGACTCCAACTTGGAGTCTACATCGTCCAAAGGAGAAAACTCATAAATGCCACCATGATAGGAATCCTATCATGGTGGCGGCTACCCTATGATAGGAATCCTAGAAGCTAGATAGTTGTGCATGGGATACAAATTATCATCCATCCTACGTGCTTTCTATTTTCAAATGCAAGGGTACTAAAATTGGTTGATACAACTTTCTACCAAGCATTCATCACAAGTGTACCAAAGGTTCCACCAACAACCGCAACATTAAAATTAAAAGAAAAAGAGAATGAAAAAGAACTAAAAGCAAATTCAAAAACCACACATAAAGAAAAATAAAGCTAAATATGATAACACCCTAAAAAAAAAATCCACACAATAAACAAACTAAAACTAACAGTCAAACAAAAAGAAATTATTACAAAATCAAAAACTAAATCCTGTGAAATAAAAACAAAATATGCAAAACTAATACAAACATGCAAACTAAATGAACACGAAACATGCAAACATCACACAACTGATTAACAAGAACTAAAGTTAAAAAGATTAGAAAATATCACAATCGGGTCACGCTTAAACTTTGATGCACATGACACACTGCCACGTTACCCCAATTGCGATCTTCCTGCAAAATAAAAACAAACGCAAATTAAATTGTCCTAATGAAAATTAAAGAACACAACAAAAAATTAAACTTAAATTATTTACAACCCAAACACACAAAAAATCAAAAGCACGTTGCTCCCCGGTAGCAGCGCCAAAATTTTGTTGAACCGGTCGTCACGACCACAAAATTAAACCTAAATACCGTAGTTAGCAATAAGCAAGGTCGAATCCATAGAGAGCAAGACTAATGACCTAATGTATGTTTGAGTTAACGAAAGAGAAATTGGCAAAATGATTGATTAAAACTAAGGAAAATAATTACTTGCAGGAAATTAAAAAGCATCAAATAAATTGCTAACTAAAACACAATATTAAAAGCGTTGCCACTATGGGTTCGGTTTAACTCAAGACCAACTCTCAGAATTCCTCTCCTCGCTCTTCAATTTCTGTAACGCCCCGCTTGAGGTACGTTGTTATTGTTTCCTCTTTTGCCCTTAATCGAGTTGGTTTTGTTATTAATTGTTTGATTGAGTGTTGTGTTGATGTTNTATATGTATATATAACATATGGAACTAAATTCTTCAGAAACTCCTAAATGAATGTTATCCCAAATAGGAAAAAGAATATTACAGTCAACTGAATGGAGAATATCCAAAAAGAATCTAAAAATCTTTATTAACCTAACTATGTTGTACATTGAGGAACACAAAAACACAACTCTATAAAACCCTTAAAAACAACCAGCTTACATTTTCCTCCTCTGCCAAACAGCTTCTCACCTTGTTTTAAAACACCAGAATGTTTTCTTCAAACTGTGATGCAAAAATGGTAAGACACTTACTCTAATATGCATTTGATTATTGTTTTAATATTTTTTTTTTCTCATTAGTTTTAATATGGAAGATGGGTATATCTACATATGCAGACATGTGGCTTGAAAGTAGACACCTCTGATCCTGGATGGTACAAATCCATGACGAAAATTCTCAGGAAAATCAAGGGTAAACTTCCCTTTTATTATCCCATTCCAACCATGAAGATCTATATTTAAATTCTATATCAAACAGGCTATTACGTTTTTTTAACCAAATGTTTTTTTAGGTGCATCATACAACATAAATGTAGAGGAAGGGATGGCGTATATTACAGGAAAAGCAAATCCGAGTAAACTTCTGAAGAAGCTCAGGTCAGAAAAATATGCAGACCTCTGTTGGGTCATGACTGGAAACAGAATCACTTATGGCAATGGCAGTGCTTATTATCAACCAATGGAGCCCCCTTCAAGTTACTGGCACAACCACCATCCCGTGCCTTTGCATCATCATAATTTCTATCCTCAAAGGCCTCCAATGGTGCCTTATTCATACCATGATTTTCAAAACTACGGCTACTGGGACAGAATTTCTTACTAGCTAGAGTTCTTTTAGGGGGGAAAAAAATAAAATAAATAATCTATTAGACGACTATCTCCTCTTAAAAGATGAGATTAAAAGCTTTTATTTTCGCTTTATTTTAAATATATTTTTAGTAAGACATTGTGTGTGCTAATGTGCAAATCCTTGATTTTAGTTGGATTTTTGTACAAGCTTTTCCGGTAGAACAATNCGCCGCGGTTTCCATTCATCACCAATTGCGCCGCCACGATTCTTCGTTTTTCCGGCGACTTTTTGTCTTTCACCATCCGCCACCGTGAACCACCGCCAGAATCCTCGGCTGCCGACGCGTCTCTTCGTCTTTAGCCAACCGTTCAACTTCCCAGCTCTCCTTGGTTCTCCCTCATCCACAAAACAACCACTCCAGCTACCGGGGACTTGTTTTCCATCATGGGCAGCAACCGTTCACCTTCCCCAGCCTCCGTCGACACCACTATGAGCGGCTGAGCACCGGTTGCCTGTTAAGCAAAGGCGAGACCAGGATTCAGGCTATAGTTTTCTTTACTTAAACTTTGAGTAATTGGATTATTAATAAGACATTGAAAATATGATTTGATTGTTGTTTTCTCTGATTTTAGGATTGTTTTGTTTCGATACTATTACAATACAATGTATGATTTGAATTATGAAACGCTTTGTTGGATTTGTGATCGTTATGAGACCAAATTGATTGTATGTTGAATGTTGGGTTTTTTGGCCTTCTAGATGCATTTTTCACACTTTATTTTTTATATTAATTTAGTACACATTAGTCTGTGTTATTAGCACCGTATTCGATGGAATTGTTGACATTACTCAAACATATCCCTTTATTTAACGATAATCAAAATCAAGTGGGGATGGTTCAAGGACTCATCATGGATAAGTGTAGTTAAAGTGTACTTTAACTCCAAGGGGTTAGTCTAGCAATTAAGAAGGTTTGCTCTTCTGATTAATTTCTTGAGTTCGAATCTTGAGACCACCTATCATATTTATGATTTATTTGATCATTTAGACTTATAAGGTGTTCAGAATGAACCACAAGATTTTTCGAGCTGTACGCAAGTTGACCTCGAACACCCCGGTTAAATTTAAGCTAATTTATAGTTTACACATTAAGATTGTTTACCTAAAAGAGTCGGCAGGGTTAATAACATAAATTACAGTAATTAAATAAAATAGATAATGAGTGGATTAGCACATGCATGGTGGTGGAGATTTAGATTATGAAAGGGTGAAATGTCAAAGTGAAAAAGGAAGAATGACATCTCACAATTTCATTTCATTAAAGCAACCATGATTTGTTTATTAATAATAGTACAACATCTCATCTAGTGTATCAATCCCGCCAGGGAGAACGACTACTGCAGTTCTAACAGAGCTACTATTCCTAACTGCAGCATCCACCATACCATGCTTTCTTGCAGAGAAAAACCTACATTTTTTATTGTAGTACATACAACTTAGAAACCTGTGAGACATGTCGGTAAAATTTGCAGCAATAGTAATATTACCTGCAAGTCAGATATGATTCTGAAGGTAGGTAGGGATGAAATTTAGAGGCTGTCCATTCACCTGCTTCTTTATCTATTTTAAGTCCACCAACTGGCTTTCCTTCTTCATACACTACGGACACCGAAAAAATTACACCGAAATTCTGTACCGGCCTACGTGTAACCGCTTCGGAATTTTTTTCATAATTTTTTATAGTGACGGCCGTCCATCAAATTTGGACGGCCGTTCACTCACTATGACGCCCGTCCATATTATATGACGGCGTCCATATATAAGGAACGGGCGTCCCCATTTAAAGGCGCCCGTCCATAATAATATAATAAAAAAATTTGTAAAATATTATGGACGGCCGTTCATAGTTGTGGACGCCTTCCCTTAATTTTGGACGACGTCCACAAATACGGGACGCCCGTCCAAACTTAATTTGTTTTAAAAAAATAAAATAAATTTGGACGCCCGTCCATACTTTTAATAAAAAAAAATTTAACAAAAACTCGTTTCTGTTGCAAACATCTTCGTCTTTCATTCCCATCTCCTCTCTTTTTCTTCTGTCTTCATTGCCAATTGTGCGTCCATTTCACTGCCTCAAATAATGACTGTGGTGTCTCTCTTTTCTTCATCTTCATTGCCAGTGTGCAGTCCATTTCTCTCTCCATCTAGATAACATGCACCAGTAGACACCAAGACAAAATTGTGTTGGTTTTCTCCCAAAACTTCCGAGTTTACCTCATATCAGTTCAATCTCTCATGAACCTTAGGGTTTATAAGATCAGCTTTGAAAACAATCCTTAATCAGTTAAAACCTAACCTCCAGTGACATTTGATGAATTGTTGACAAAACCCATATGTTCCCAAAATATAAAACTTGAACTTTTGATAAATGAGAATCCATGGTGTCAACCAAAATCTGTCTAATTGCATCAGCGTTCCCACCAATGATTATGCTAATAGACAAGTAACTGCAACTGGACACATTAAACCTCTATAGTCTCTAAATTATTCGTAGTAATAAATAAACACCTTATTGCATTTTTTGAGATAGAGAAGCGAATTCAGATGAAAAAATACCTCTCTAACACTTGTGTAAATGGGTCAAACTGAGACTGATCAAAAGCGGGTCGCTCTAAGACACCCTTGGAAGAACCAAACCTAGTCTTCAAAGCGCCACAGAAAACCCTCCTTTCTTGTGTGGACCTTTGAAAGGGATAGGAAGTCGAAGCAGAAGTAGGAGGAATAAGAGAGAGGTTTGTTAAGCCAAAAGATGCCACTGCCATAAATCAGTTTAACACAAGGAAAAAGAGAGGAGATGGGGAATGAAGACGAAGATGTTTTGCAACAGAAAACGAGATTTTGTTAAATTTTTTTTTTTTTTATTAAAAGTATGGACGGGCGTCCATTGGAATGGACGCCCGTCCAAATTAAGGGACGCCCGTCCATAAATTATGGACGGGCGTCCAAATTTTTTATTTTATTTTTTAAAACAAATTAAGTTTGGACGGGCGTCCCGTATTTGTGAACGCCCGTCCAAAATTAAGGGACGACCGTCCACAACCTATGAATGGCCGTCCATAATGTTTTACAAATTTTTTTATTGTATTTTATTTATGGACGGGCGTCCTTTAAATGGGGACGCCCGTCTCTTGTATATGGACGCATGTCCATATAATATGGACGGGCGTCCATGTGAGTGAACGGTCGTCCAAATTTGATGGACGGCCGTTCACTATAAAAAAATTATGAAAAAATTCAGACGCGCGTTACACGTAGGCCGGTACAGAATTTCGGTGTAATTTTTTCGATGCCCGTAGTGTTATTGTTCCTGCTTGCATAGCACCTTTGGTCACAGCATCCATGAGCCCAGGACCAACCCCCGACCACGTGGTGCAGTCCAGGAGGCTAACAATCTGCTCAGCTACAGTGGCAGTCAAAAATCAAAGAAACCAATGGGGAAAATCTCAGACATCAGGACAATTTTATTCAATAATGCACCTTATGTTTGTTCGCCATGCATCCCATTCCAAGCTCTTTACACATACATAATTAACAAAATATTGATTTGAAAGTAATTTGAGAAAATGATAATATGAGATATCTTGCCTCTCTACTCAACTCCAGAGCTTGAACATGATGTGGATGATCAGGTCCCATCCTTGAAGAACCCAAGTACACAACTCCCCTCCCCAGTCGGTGTATGAGTTCGTAGCATTGTTCTATCTCTTTTCTGACCTTTCAAAAAATAAACCCAATTTAGAGAAATAGCTCCCCCATGTTTATTGACACAGTGATGCACGACATATATTCATAATTAAGTGACACAGTGAGAATAAAGTAAATCGACCAACAGGATGGCACCTAAATGTGGAAAACCAGCAATAATGAATCTTCAAGAGGTTTTTTCCTCTCCCATTAAGAAAGCAAAAGGGAGACAAGATGCTAAATGTGAATTCCAACAGCATGCCATATTCAATCCTTGTGAGATCTTGTTGAATCAGATCAAAACTAAATACTACAAACGCAAAGGCAAATGTAAATCAAACAAATCAGTTCTTATTAAATAGTCCGGCTGCTCCACCTCAATATGACTTCTCCCAATCGTTCAATTAAACTCTTAGCTTCTACTTCTACAGTGCAACTGGCAATTCAAATCTTATGAATCTACACTTATCATATAACAAATCTCAAAACGTAGAAGCTTGAATAAACAAAGAATTTGAAAAATTAGAAACTTTAGAGAAACTAAGAACTGGGTTTACCTCAAGAGGGCTTGTTCTCTCTTCAAAGTGAACCACCTCACGCTTACAGAGCAAAGCTGAAGCTCTTCCTGGGCAACAATCAAACTTTGAAGTAAATTTAACACTGAACCTCTTTTTCCCATTTGAAGTTTGAACTTTACAGTCTTATGACAAGAATTCTTCAACCAAACATGAGAACCAAATGAACCCACCAAAGAAAACCCCATTTTAGAACCTTCAAATTAGTAAAATACTGTTCTTGTTTTAGTCAACTGGTTGTTTCCAGTAAGTGTTTATGTCTGAAATTTGCAAATATCGACCATCTGAAAACTTTTTATGAGATTTTTGCAGAGATAAGGAATTGGGTTCCAATTTGGACAGAATTTTATGCTGTTTCCAACCACAAAAGTTAGAGAAGAAAATTTTTGCATGATCAAAATATTATATTAGGGAGTCAAGATTCCAATTGAAATTTGAATGTCATTTTTATAAATTAGCCGGTAATATATAAATATAATTGAGATCATTGTGGCAGGGTTTTAATATATTAATTTTTATTCTTAGTTTATAATTATATAGCATATGTGCTCGATAATTATTATCAATTTTTTTTTTATAATATATATATAATTGAGATCATTGTGGTAGGGTTTTAATATATTAATTTTTATTCTTAGTTTATAATTATATAGCATATGTGCTGATAAATTATTATCAATTTTTTTAATAATATAGGCTCTGTTGACTACATTATTTCTACCCATATTCCCAATTTTATTCCCAAAATATTGTTTGTTTTGTTATTTGAGAAATATTAGTATATTTTTTTAATTATTTTTAGACCCCTTAAGTTTATTAATTTCATTAAATACCTCCAGAAAAAATTTAAAAATTAACAAAAATACCCACACCTACCCATACTTGCTAGATTCTGGCAACCACCATCGGTGGTAGCCGGAATCTGTCACAACGGCCTACAAACGACCAGGACTGGCCGGTAATTTACTGATTTGATGGCCGTATCTTTGGCCGTAGCTGACAGCCAGATCTGGACTTTTTTGATCGTCGACGGCCAGATTTGGCCATAGATCTGACCTTTTTCGGCCAGATCTGTGGTGGATATGACAGGAAAAGGCCATCTCAACGCCTTACCAGCCAGATCCAACCGGTCTGCGTCGTAACACCATTTTCCGGCCAGATTCCGACGGTGGTGGTTGGAATCTGGCACTGTGGGTGGGTGGGGGTGTTTTTGTCACTCATTTACAAAAAATTTATATATTGGGGTGTTTAGTTAAATTAGCAAATCTAGTGGGTTTTTTTTTGTAAATTTTTAAATTTTATCTCGTAATACTCCCCTATTGAATTACTCAATATTATTCCCAAAATTCTATCCAAAATAATAAAATAAACGGACCCATAGTTTTTATAATTCTGGTTAGGTACTAAGCAATAAAGACTAATGATAATAGTTGCTTTATCTTACTTTCCATTAATATAATTGGATAAGTAATTGTGCCAATTACATTTTGGGCTACATATTAGTTGTAAACGTTGGTTTTACAGTGAACCTAGGAGGTTGGTGTCAAAGTAGAACTCTAAGTCCTACTTGGTAGATAAGTCTCAATTAGGAAGGAAGCATTATCCCCTGCCTTTATCAGATTAGGCTTACCACTTCAAGTAGATTCAGGATCTTGACTAAAGTAGAAAGTAAATAAGATTCCAATTCTTCGTTTTGGACTCTGTGGGCTAATGGGTTGGAATCCGATTTAGCTTAGCTCGTAGGATAGTCTAACTCATATAGTGGTCAGTTCATAAGTTAGATTTAAGCGTAAACCCAACCAGAATTGGGCTAAGGCATTGGGCCATGAGATGTTTATTTTATTATTGGACCTTGCCAGGCCCAATACGATTTTGGCCCATACACTATTGTAACCTTTATTAACTAATTAAATGTCTTTTAAATCAATGTATTTATAGACTCTCGGGTCAATTTTTGTTTTTTGTGCACGGCTTCTGATGAGGTGAATTCATTCTATATGGTCAAATTTTTGATAGACAAGCTTTATATATGAATAAATGGTAAACATTATATGCTAACTCGCTCAAAGAATGTTTTGGACTTGGAGAAGAGATTTTTTGTTAGGTGTGAATTGTAATGTGGTGTGATTTGTGAGGAAAGAGCAAAGCCTCCATTCTGGTCAATAACTTAATGCATTGACATGCATAATTAACTCCACCCTAATTAATAACCACGTTTATGGTACTTGTTACTTTTGATTTTTTTTTTTTTTTTTACGTCAAAATTTAATACTTTGGCCTTAATTTTTCAAACTTTGTGTGCTACATAAAACATGTGGAATGGATATCAGATATAACATTTATATGGTTAGACAAGATGAAATAATTGTTCAAGGGAAGTAATGGTGCTTCAAATGATAAGAGTATAATCACAATCTAAATTATGTGATCTTCGTTTTGGACAGAGCTTGAAACGGAGTAATTTCCTAAGAGATCACCACTCTCATATGTGCTTGTTATATGTTATCCTTTTTAATTAACTTGGATTTCTTGCCAATTATTAAACAAACGTCCATTAAATATAAAACATATTACAATAATTTACATAAAAATCAGTACATTGTGTGAAAAGAAGAAGACGTAACAGAGAGGTTAAGTAAGCAAGTATTGCCAGCATTTCTCTATCATTCTTTCACTTCAATGATATATTAAACTTGAAGGAGGGTTTAGAAAATTCAATTAAAACTTTTATAGTTTTCTACTGTAACCTTATTGACTAAATTATAGATTTTTGAGGAAAGAGCAAAGCCTCCATTGTGGTCAAGAACTTAATGCATTCACATGCATAATTAAATTTAAGTCCTCACTAATTAATCATGTTTATGGTACTTTTTACTTCAACAATTTTTTTTTTTTTTTTAAGTTATCAAGTTTAATACTTTGGCTTTAATCCTTTGAACTTTGTGTGCCACGTAAAACATGTGGAATTGATATCAGGTATAACGTCAAGCATATTTGCATACTTGCTGAACAAAAGTATATGGAACCCACATTGAAATCAAATCAATAAAACTTGTGAATATCACTTGAGTCCATTGATTTCTCCACAAAAATTTACATATAAAATGTAATAAACAAAAGAAAGAGAAAAATTGAAAAGAAAGAACTGTCCATGAATCTATCATACTGCAGGGATCACTTGATTTCAGATTTGCTAAATTAGTTTGAAACCGTAGGAAATGAAAACTGTGTTATTTTTTTTTTTTTATATTTATTATTATTTTTGTTTTTTGTGCAGGGCTTCTGATGAGGTGAATTCATTCTAGTGAAACAGTACAATATTAGTGGAAGACTTAAAGAATTTAAAATATAATTGACGTCAAGTCCACTCTGTTAGTGGGAGACAGAGAGAAATAGAAGTCTATAAAGTCTTCTGCTATTTGCTACCTTTCCAAATTGTATTCTATGGATTGATTCCTTTGTTAATGGAAATTAAAAGTCGTAAAAGTCTTTTTTAATAGAGATGGGATGTATATTCGATCAATGAATCAATGCTGGAATGCATTATGATTCCTTTGTTCACATATAAGATGAAATATTGATGGAAAGGAATCAAATGGGTGGTATGTGGACAAAAAATACCCTGACCAATAAAATAGCCAATATAAATTAAAAACTATTATAATAAATAAATCTAATATTATATTATTAAATTCATTGGATTCCTTACCTCCAAAATTAGGAATCCTTACAAAATTTTGAGGAATCCTTTACAAATATTTTTAAGGAATTGATTATGCATGAGATTTCAATTCCATTACGTAAACAACGGAATTAGGAATAAACATGGCCTAAGGAAATAAAAGTTATCAAACAACTTCATTTTCCATTTTGTTGATTTGTGAAATTTTCCAGCTTTTCCTTTTCAGAGTAGATTTTTTGTTAATCGATTATTTTTTACTCATCTTGGAAGTTACAGTCCTTACGGTTTTAGCTCTAATTTTTAAACTTAGCTATCTTTTGTTTTTATTAAATTTATAATTCAACAGAAACTTATTTTTCCTTTTATGCAATTATCAAAACTTAATTAACTACTCAATAACGAGCTCAATTAAATATAAGATTATCCTTGAAATCTTGCTGCATAAAATAAAGAACAAGGAAATTTCCTGCAATTTTCCAGAGTCGAAACCTTGACCAACTAGTTTGGTGTTCACAACTTACAAATGGATCCTGACATAAGTTGAGAAAATCAGCTAAGGTTTGTTTAGCGTATTATACGTTATATGTCAACAATAGTTGAGAAAATCATATTAATTATTATCAATTTTTTTTTTTATAATATAGTTTTTATAATTCCGGTTAGGTACTAAGCTATATGTGAGACTAATGATAATAGTTGCTTTACCTTACTTTCCGTTAATATAATTGGATAAGTAATTGTGCTAGTTACATTTTGGGCTACATATTAGTTGTAAACTTCATTTTTACAGTGAAACTAGGAGGTTGGTGTCTGAGAAGAACTCTGAGTCCTACTTGATAGATAAATCTCAATTAGAAAGGAAGCATTATCCCTTGCCTTCATCATATTAGGCTTATTATTTCAAGTAGATTTAGGATCTTGACTAAAGTAGAAAGTAAATAGGATTCTAATTCTTTTTTTTTTTTTTTCTTGATACTTACATGGAAAATACTGTGAGGTCCTACTTTTCAAAATTCTATTCCAGATAAGCTGAGCAATTAGATTGGTCATTCATGAGAAGTTCCATGGATGAATAGATTTAATTGGGTCGGGTGAGTAGGATTTGGCTTAGAGTCGACAAAATTTATTAATGTGAACCATTGGAACTAATTGGATGGATGAAAAGTTGTACTGCTTCTGTAGTATGAAATCAAATGTCGCCCATGATACTTTCTATTTACTTCATAGATAGCTTCTAGTGCCAAGTATTTTCCATTTTCTTTAATCATTCTTAATTTCTTGGTGATTTAATGGTGATAAACAAACTTTCTCTTTAACTTCCATTTGAATTGCAATTGAAATTGAAACCAGGGCCCGAAACAGAGTAGGTAACTAAAGTAATTAGAATCGGATACTAGGAATATTTCTCAACAAACTAAGCAAATACTACACAACTTTATAAAATATGAAAGACAAGCTATAGAAAATTTATAGAAGGCATGACTGTCTTTGGTTAAATTTTTGATAGACAATACGTCGTCAAGCTTTATACGTGAATAAATGGTAAACATTATATGCTAACTCGCTCAAAGAATGTTTTGGACTTGGAGAAGAGATTTTTTGTTGGGTGTGAATTGTAATGTGGTGTGATTTGTGAGGAAAGAGCCAAGCCTCCATTGAGGTCAATAGCTTAATGCATTCACATGCATAATTAACTCCACCCTAATTAATCACCACGTTTATGGTGCTTTTTACTTTTGATTTTTTTTTTTTAGTCAAAATTTAATACTTTGGCTTTAATCTTTCAAACTTTTTGTGCTACGTAAATCATGTGGAATGGATATCAGATATAACATTTATATGGTTAGACAAGATGAAATACTTGTTCAAGGGAAGTAATGGTGCTTCAAATGATAAGAGTATAATCATAATCTAAATGTGATCTCCGTTTTGGACAAAGCTTGAAACAGAGTAATTTCCTAAGAGATCACCGTTCTCATATGTGCTTGTTATATGTTATCCTTTTTAATTAACTTGGATTCCTTGCTGGTTATTAAACAAACGTCCATTACATATAAAACATCTTACAATAATTTACATTGTAAAAAAGAAGACGTAACAAAGAGGTTAAGTAAGCAAGTATTGCTAGCATTTCTCCTTCATTCTTTCACTTCAATGATATATTAAACTTGAAGGAGGGGTTAGAAAATTCAATTAAAACTTTTATAGTTTTCTACTATAATCTTATTGACTAAATTATAGATTTGTGAGGAAAGAACAAAGCCTCCATTGTGGTCAAGAACTTATTGCATTCACATGCATAATTAAATTTAAGTCCTCGCTAATTAATGACCACGTTTGTGGTACTTTTTACTTTTTTTTTTTTTTTTTTTTAGTTATCAAGTTTAATACTTTGGCTTTAATCTTTCGAACTTTGTGTGCCACGAAAATATGTGGAATTGATATCAGATGTAACATCAAGCATGTTTGCATATTTGCAAAACAAAAGTATATCGAACCCACATTGAAATCAAATCAATACAACTTGTGAATATCACTTGAGTCCATTGATTTCTCCACAAAAAAGTTACATGTGGGAACTCTAGTTCGTGTGTGTGTGCGATTGAAGGTACAATTTGAAGTATAATTTTACAAACACATAAAAGAATGGATCAACAGAATGATGTTGTCTTCAAACAGAAGATGTACTATTAGTCTTGTGACCTGAGGTTATTCTGTGTCTCTCTAGTAAGGAATTAACACCCTTGATTTCCGCCATTTGCTTGATTTTGGTTAACACCTGTGATTTCAGCCATTGATCAAACTTTTCTTGATTTAGGCTAATAGTGTGATAAGAGAAGATGTAACAGAGAGGTTAAGTAAGTAAGTACTGCCAGCATTTCTCCATCATTCTTTCACTTCAATGATATATTAAACTTGAAGGAGGGGTTAGAGAATTCAATTAAAAGTATGATACTTTTCTATTGTAACCATTATTGACTCATTAAATCAAAGTTTCATATTTTGTCCTCTTTAATTGACTTGAAGTCTACTCTGTTAATTGAACCACTAAAATTATAAGTATTTGCATCTTTTCCAAAAAGTGTGATGAGAAGTCACCGCTAGTTCTCTATCAATCCAGCTTCAACTATTAATTCGCACCAACATACATGTACTAGTTAGTGTTGATTCGTATTTTGTCCTCCTTTAACTGACTTCGAGTCAACAGAAGTGTTTGAAGACTGAAAATAATATGCAACTTTCTGAGTTGGACCTCATATGCTATTGTTGATACCTTGCAGATGATAATATTATCATTCACATTTTCTAGCTATTAGGGTTTAGTTTGTGGTTGAGATGATCATCCATGTTTACATAATTGATCTAGAGATGCAAAGATGTACAGATCTTTTGGATCATGATCAATCATTCTTTATTGACTAATTAAATGTCTTTTAAATCAACAGTAAGACTTTCCTGGAACTTACACGGTAGATATGTGAGGTCCTACTTTTCAGACTTCTGTTCCAGATGAGCTGGATAAGCTAAGCTATTAAATTGGTCATTCATGAGAAGTTCCATGGATGAATAGATTTACTTGGGTCAGCTTAATAGGATTTGGCTTGGAGTCTGCAAACTTTATTAATGTGAACCATTGAAATTAATTTCTTGATGATTTAATGGTGACGAATAAACTCTCTTTAATTTCTAATTTGAACTTGAAACAGGGGCCGAAACAGAGTGAATAACTAAAGTAATTAGAATTGTGGGCACTAGTAATATTTCTCAACAATTTTTTCTGGAAACATACCGACATGTATCAGTGGAGTTGATTGATTTCTCCACAAATCAACTTTCTGGTGAAATCTTATTTTGAATGTACTGATAAGGGTGTGGGAGACTAATATAAATTATAAAAGAGTACAAAGTTTTCAGCTAATTAAATTTTTTGTTACTTTTCCGGATTGGATTCTGAGATGTATTGATCATCATGTGCAATCCGTTTCTCATTGGCATATTCGATCACATGGATCATTGTGGATATATTAATTTCTACTCTTGATGATTTTAAATTTCATGTAAATGTATTTCATCCAAAACTCACCCACTTGATTGAGGAATGAAAACTTGTAAACTAATTACGTTGTCAATGTAAAGATCAGGTGATGCTGAATCACAATAAGTTGCCATGGAAGGATACTAGTATCAGTTTCAGAAAACTGTTTCAGTGCAGTGCCAAAAGCCTTTATTATATTGAATCAATTGGTTCTCACGAGTGGAATCATAATTGCTTCATAGATACTCTGGACAGCTAGAAAAATCAATGTTTCAAAATTACCTAAGTACTATTTATGGTCAATTGACTATGAGGCCATGGGGGTCCCTTATCTTTGAAACAGGGGATCTTGGAGCCACGTGGCCCACTGACATCTTTAAAATCTTGATGTTATCAGTAAAGATCAAAGAAATTTCCTGCAAGTTTTAAAATTGATTTCTGGACAAACTAGTTGAGTGGTTAAGTGAACGGAAACTCTATAAATAGCAGGCCACTAATAATAATATTCTCATGCACAATTCCTTTTCCATAAACTTTTCCAATGCAAATGAAAACCATGAGTATTTTTCTTGCCTTTCTTTTCATTTCCACAACCCTCAACATTAGCTTCTGCGGAGGAAGCTCTTACCGGGGTTGCATTGAAAGTGAGAGACAAGCTCTTTTAAGGTTCAAGAAAGATCTGATAGATCATTCCAACCGGCTTGCCTCTTGGACTTCTGGTCATGGAGATTGCTGTACATGGTCTGGCATTTTCTGTGACAACCAGACAGGCCATGTCCTTGAGCTCAACCTTAGTACTCCTGAGTTCAATTTTAATTCTTTTGATGAAGCTGAATCATACTATAGGTCAAGGCTGGGTGGTAAGGTAAATCCCTCTTTGCTTGATTTAAAGCATTTGCGCTCGTTGGACTTGAGCAATAACAATCTTTCTGGAATTCAGATTCCTAAATTTCTTTGTTATATGCACAATTTAAGATACCTTGATCTTTCTGAAAATTCTTTCCAAGGTATAATTCCTCACCAGCTTGGGAACCTCTCTAATCTGCAACATCTTGCCCTCGATGGCTGTATAGGTATAATTCCTCACCAGCTTGGGAACCTCTCTAATCTGCAGCATCTTGCCCTTCGTGGCAGTTTAGATGTTGACAATTTAGGGTGGTTATCTAGTCTTTCTTTGTTGAAACACCTTGACTTGAGTTATGTGGATCTCAGTAAATCCTCTGATTGGCTGCACGTGATCAATACACTCCCTTCTCTGGTAGTGTTAAACTTGCGGCGTTGTGGAATCCATCATTTTCCTCAACTACCCATTGTAAATTTTTCGTTTCTTGAGACCCTTGATCTGAGTGATAATAATTTTGAAGGTCCAATTCCTTATGGCCTTCAAAAATTGACTTCCCTTAGATATCTTGATTTATCTGAAAATTATTTCAATTCTTCAATACCCAATTGGATTTACAGACTTAGCCGTCTACAGGGACTTCCTCTTGATAATAATTGGTTGAAAGGCACGTTAGGGATTCTAGGAAATCTGACATCTATAGAAGAGCTTGATCTCTCATTCAATGGATTTGAAGGTGGAATCCCAAAATCAATGGGACGACTTTGCAACTTAAGGTCAATCACTATCTCATACGTCAATTTAAGCCAACCAATATCTGATGTCTTTGATATTTTTTCTAGATGTGTTTCAGACGTACTAGAGATTTTGGATTTAAGTGAAAGTCAAGTTTTTGGTCAATTTACTGATAGACTTGGACAATTTAAAAAGTTAAAGAGTCTTAATCTGTTTAAGAATTCTATTTCAGGTTCTATTCCATCCTCTTTAGGAGAACTATCATCGTTACAAGTTCTTGATGTTATCTATAACAAATTGAATGGAACTGTTTCTGAGATGCATTTTTCCAATCTGACAAGATTATTAAAATTTAATGCAAATGAAAATTCATTAATATTCCAAGTCAATCCTCATTGGGTTCCTCCTTTTAAACTTACAAATCTAGGATTGAGATCTTGTCATTTAGGGCCTCAATTTCCACTGTGGCTTCGTTCACAAAAGCATTTACAATATCTTGACATATCCGATTCAAGAATTAAAGATGCTATTCCAACATTTTTATTCAAAATTCCTTTCAAATATGTAAATCTCTCTCACAACCAACTCTATGGGCAGATTCCAAATTTAACAGAGTCAACTCAACTTGAAGTCCTTGACTTGAATTCAAATAATTTATCAGGTTCAATGCCTCTTATATCCTTCCAATTGCATCTGCTTGATCTTTCCAACAATGTTTTGTCAGGACCAATTTTCCATTTCTTGTGTCATAAGTTGAATGAGTCAAAGAGCCTGGAGATTCTCATCCTTAATAACAACTATTTGTCAGAAGTTATACCTGATTGTTGGATGAATTTGAAAGTCTTAAGAGTCTTGAATTTAGCTAACAATAGATTCACTGGCAAGCTTCCAGCTTCTATTGGGAATTTAAGTTCTCTTCAATTATTAAAGCTTCGCAAAAACAACTTTTCTGGAACAATTCCCATGTCACTCAAAAATTGTACAGATATGGTGTCGCTTGATTTGGGTGAAAATGAGTTTGTTGGAAATCTCAAGGCTTGGGTTGGAGAAAGATTCTCAAAAATGAAGATTCTCAACCTTAGATCAAATAAGTTTTCTGGCCATTTACCGAAAGAACTTTGTGATCTCCGTTCTTTGCAAATCTTAGACCTTGCAGATAACAACTTCTTTGGAACCATACCAAGATGCATCAATAACTTTAGTGCCATGATGACAAAGAGCTCTAATGAGGAAAGCGATATGAGTTATGAAACTTTTGAGTCGACTTATGTTTCAACATATCTGGAGGGTGAACTACTTGTGAACAAAGGTCACATGGTTGAATACAACACAATTTTGAAGTTCGTGAGAGGTATAGACCTTTCAAAAAATAACTTCTTCGGACAGATTCCTATGGAAGTGACAAATCTTTCAGAATTACAGTCATTAAACCTATCACACAATGGTTTTACTGGAAGAATTCCGGAGAAAATTGGTGCTATGAGATCTCTAGAGTCTATCGATTTCTCCAGAAATCAACTTTCAGGTGAAATCCCACAAAGCATTTCAAGTTTGACATTTTTGAGTAACTTGAACTTGTCCAACAACAACTTAACCGGAAGAATTCCTTCAAGCACTCAATTAAGTGGCTTTGATGCATCCTGTTTTACAGGAAACCAACTTTGTGGACCTCCACTTCCTAATAATTGCACTGTGACTAGTCCAACAATCAACAATCAGAACAGAGGAGAGAAAGATGGTAATGAAGATGAAGTGAACTGGTTCTTTGTGAGCATGGCACTTGGATTTATTGTGGGATTCTGGAGTTTTATAGGTTCTCTACTCGTCAGCCGAAGATGGAGATACTTGTATTGCCAATTCTTGAACAATCTCCAAGACAAACTGGGCAGTGTTGTAAGAAAATGTTACTAGAGTTTTTTTTTTTTTTTTTTTTTTTTTTCGTTTGGGGCTACTTTGTTATGTACCAAAAAGGAAGTGAGTAATATTTTGAACGTTTGTCATGAAATGATATCTGCTATCTTTTTTACAGATCAAAAAGATTATGTTAATGCATTCATTGCTTTAACACACTGATTAGTGACTAGAATGATCAATTTTTTTGTTTTAATGGGGCCTGCAAAAATTGAATAGATGACATAAATGTGAATAAATAAAATATTAAAGGCAAAATGTCATGATCAACCTCAACACCACTTCTAGTACTCACAAATCACAAATCCCTTCATGGAGACTTCAATTTTTCTATCCTCCATAAACAGACTTCAATTTTTGATCTTCAAGACCAACTCTGGACTTTCTACAACCTGCATACCCATTGCAAGAGATGGTTTTTTAAACATCATTTGTGAGTTCCAACAATGGAGGAAGTGATACAACTTGGCGTTGAAGTGAGACAAGAGTTGATGGTTGTTAGAATCATAAAAATGACTCCATTAAAATGATTTAATTGAATATATATTGAGATAATTTATGAATTTATTGATGAAAAATCACATTTTAATGTTTTCTTACTAATTTTGGAGGTTTGGAATGATTTTGGAAATGGTGTGAGTTGATATTAGGTTGTGGTTTATGGATTAGGGTTGATTCTGTCTCATTTGTGTTTATTGGGGGTAAAATGTTCTCTTTTCAAGGGGTTTATTTTGTCACTTTTTAAATGTACAGGGACTAAGAGAACGCATTTTCTATAAAAGTAAAGTGAACCGCGGTAAAAAAAAAAAAGCAGCCGCCCAAGACCCAAACCCTTGCTCATCTCCACTGGATTTCGACCATCTCCGGCGACCCTTCTTCTACCAAAACTCCGATCGGCCATCACCTCCATCATCTCCTTGAAGATCCGCCACGGTTTCCATTCATCACCATTTGCGCCGCCACGATTCTTCGTTTTTCCGGCCACTTTTTGTCTTTCACCATCCGCCGCCGTGAACCACCGCCAGAATCCTCGGCTGCCGACGTGTCTCTTCGTCTTCAACCAACCGTTCAACTTCCCAGCTCACCTGGGTTCTCCCTTATCCACAAAACAACCACTCCAGCTACCGGCGACTTGTTTTCCATCATGGGCAGCAACCGTGCACCTTCCCCAGCCTCCGTCGACACTACTATGAGCGGCTGAGCACCGGTTGCCTGTTAGGCAGAGGCGAGACCAGGATTCAGGCTATAATTTTCTTTACTTAAACTTTGAGTAATTGGATTATTAATTAGACATTGAACTTATGATTTGATTGTTGTTTTGTTTCGATACGGTTACAATACAATGTATGATTTGAATTATGAAACTCTTTGTTGAATTATGCAAGTCAGACATGATTCTAAAGTACCCCAATTTTCACAATCACCAAGAAACCCGAATAGCTTCCCATAAAACGAGTCGTAATTCATCACAAGAAAAGGAACTGGAAGCTCTGATCCAATCCTTTCCAGCTCAAACATCTCATCTAGTGTACCAATCCCGCCAGGGAGAGCGACTACTGCAGTTCTAACAGAGCTGCTATTCCTAACTACAGCATCCACCATACAATGCTTTCTTGCAGAGGAAAACCTATATTTTTCATTGTAGTACATACAACTTAGAAACCTGTGAGACATGTCGGTAAAATTTGTAGCAATAGTAATATTACCTGCAAGTCAGATATGATTCTGAAGGTAGGTAGGTATGAAATTTAGAGGCTGTCCATTCAGCTGCTTCTTTATCTATTTTAAGTCCACCAACTAGCTTTCCTGCTTGCATAGCACCTTTGGTCACAGCATCCATGAGCCCAGGACCTGCCCCCGACCATGTGGTGCAGTCCAGGAGGTTAGCAATCTGCTCAGCTACCATGGCAGTCAAAAATCAAAGAAACCAATGGGGAAAATCTCAGACATCAGGACAATTTTATTCAATAATGCACCTTATGTTTGTTCGCCATGCATCCCATTCCAAGCTCTTTACACATACATAATTAACAAAATATTGATTTGAAAGTAATTTGAGAAAATGATAATATGAGATATCTTGCCTCTCTACTCAACTCCAGAGCTTGTACATGATGTGGATGATCAGGTCCCATCCTTGAAGAACCCAAGTACACAACTCCCCTCCCCAATCGGTGTATGAGTTCGTAGCATTGTTCTATCTCTTTTCTAACCTTTCAAACAATAAACCCAATTTAGAGAAATAGCTCCCCCATGTTTATTGACACTGTGATGCATGACATATATTCGTAAAATCGACTAACAAGAAAGCAACGGCTCAAGGTGGCACCTAAATGCAGAAAACCAGCAATAATGAATCTTCAAGAGGTTTTTCCCTCTCCCATTAAGAAAGCAAAAGGGAGACAAGATGCTAAATGCGAATTCCAACAGCATGCCATATTCAATCCTTTTGAGGTCTTGTTGAATCAGATCAAAACTAAATACCACAAACGCAAAGGCAAATGTAAATCAACAAATCAGTTCTTATTAAATAGTCTGGCTGCAATATTTATCTTTTACTCCACCTCAATATGGCTTCTCCCAATCGTTCAATTAAACTCTTAGCTTCTACTTCTACAGTGCAAATGGCAATTCAAATCTTATGAATCAACACTCATCATATAACAAATCTCAAAACGTCGAAGCTTGAATGAACAAAGAATTTGAAAAATTAGAAACTTTAGAGAAACTAAGAACTGGGTTTACCTCAAGAGGGCTTGTTCTCTCTTCAAAGTCAACCACCTCACTCTTACAGAGCAAAGCTGAAGCTCTTCCTGGGCAAGAATTAAACTTTGAAGTAAATTTAACACTGAACCTCTTTTTCCCACTTGAAGTTTGAAACTTTACAGTCTTATGACAAGAATTCTTCAACCAAACATGAGAACCAAATGAACCCACCAAAGAAAACCCCATTTCAGAACATTCAAATTGGTAAAATACTGTTCTTATTTTAGTCAATTGGTTGTTTCTAGTAAGGGTTTATGTCTGAAATTTGCGAATATGGACCATCTGAAAACTTTTTATGAGATTTTCGCAGAGATAAGGAATTGGGCTCCAATTTGGACAGAATTTTGTGCTGTTTCCAACCACAAAAGTTAGAGAAGAAAATTTTTAAATGATCAAAATATTATATTAGGAGTCAAGATTCCAATTGAAATTTGAATGTCATTTTTATAAATTAGCCGGTAATATATATATACACTCTAATTGAGATCATTGTGGCAGGGTTTTAATATATTAATTTTTATTCTTAATTTATAATTATATAGCATATATACTCATTAATTATTATCATTTTTTTTTTATAATGTACAGTTTTTATACTTCCGGTTAGGTTCTAAGCTATATGTGAGATTGATGATGATAGTTGCTTTATCTTACTTTTCAGTTTTCATTAATATAATTGGATAAGTAATTGTACCAGTTACATTTTGGGATACATATTTGATGAATTTGAGAGAAGTAAAAATGAAATTATTCTTCATTGATGAACTCTTGAAAAATACATGAATATATATACAGGTGTTCTGTAACTAACTAACAAACTGGAAACAAACTTTTCTAAATGTAACTAACTCTTGCCAACTTATTCTTCAACATTGGAGGGGAATAACCCTGGCCTGAATTTTATATGAAGAAATTAAAGAAGGGAATTGACCTGGTGTGCTTTAAAATTTAAACTTTGTTTTGAACTTCACATCTTCCAGATCAATTCTTCTAGTTTCACCTTCGTGTTTTCTTTTTTAGATCAATCTTGGACATAAAATCCATCAATTAACCTAAACTTCATCTCATTACTTGGTTTGCTCCAATATCTTAAAAGAAGAAAAAAAAGAAAAAAAAAAACTAATTTAGTATCAATAATAAAATTCCAAATGGCTTAGCAGGGTAAAGAAAAAAAAAAATTATATAGTTGATCACAATAAAATAATTTCCCAACTCATCATTTATATATAGTCTTCATACAAAATTAGGAAAACATACCCAAGATGTGACAACATTTTTAACATGAGAAAATAATTTATATGGTATTATCACAACTATTTTTCCCATTTATAAGTGCATGAATTGAAATTTTTATACTTTACATATAAATTTCATAATAAAAGATTATCCAATCAAGAAACGAATCCGAAGTTATATTATCCAGCCCAATTTATAGTTTGGGCCCAGTTTGAACCCTAGCCCAACGAATCCGACATTATATTACAAGTTTTATAAACCCAAGCCCAACCCGGCCCAAAACACTCTTTCAAGTTGACGACACCGTTTGGTGTCAAATTGAAACTAGGGTTTTAGTTTAAAAGTGTATATATAAATACCCAGCCACCACTATCCTTCTCTTTCCCTCTGTGTCAACCCTAAGCTTGACAGCTTCATTGGAGACCGAGAAGAAGCTTGAAATCTCTCTGCCAAAGCAAAATGGGTATCTGGTTTCGCTTTCATTTATTCTTGATACTAGTTTTTTTCTTTTTTCTTTTTTTTTCTGGGTTTTTTTTTGCTTTGTGACGTTTATAACCCAAAAAAAATGGCAGAAAGATGATTTTTTTTTGTTTTTTGAACCTGTTGTTGATAGGTATTTCTCGTGATTCTATGCACAAGAGACGTGCCACTGGAGGCAAGAAGAAGGCTTGGAGGAAGAAGAGAAAGTAATGTTTAAATCTCGCTGTTCTTCTTTAATTAGAGTTTGACTTTTGATATTCGTTTTGGCTGTGGTGTTTGTATATGATTTATTTCTCTATCTTGTTCAAAACCTCGTAGATTTCAAAGGCTTTAGACATTTGATTTTGATATCGGATTAATGAATACTTGATTTGTGTTATTTGTGAATCAAATCTTAACTAAACCCTTAGGTTTACTCCGTTTCTTTTGGGCTTAATATTAACGGGGCTGTGTTGTAATGTTTAGAATTTTAAAACTCTGAGAGGGAGTCCTGATTCAGTTGATTTGATATTGTTCTATGTTTAAGGTATGAGCTTGGAAGGCAACCTGCTAACACCAAGCTATCAAGCAACAAGACAGTTAGGAGGGTTAGGGTTAGAGGTGGAAATGTCAAGTGGCGAGCCTTGAGGCTCGACACAGGAAACTACTCATGGGGAAGTGAGGCAGTGACTCGTAAAACTAGAATTCTGGATGTGGTGTACAATGCCTCTAACAATGAGTTGGTCCGTACTCAAACTCTGGTGAAGAGTGCTATTGTTCAGGTTGATGCTGCTCCATTCAAGCAGTGGTATCTCCAGCACTATGGTCTTGACATTGGTAGAAAGAAGAAGGCTGCAGCTTCAGCGAAAAAAGAAACAGAGGTAAACACTGTTGCACATCTTATAATGTTTAAATTGAGTCCTATGATACCGTGATTAATGATTCTATGTTTAAATCTACTAATGTTTAATTGATATTTTGATTTATTAAGATTTGTATGGATGGCTACTGATTACAATTTTTTAGTGGAAGCACTTCTTACTGTTGTGTAAATGGCTATATAATATCTTTGTTTGTAATCTTGTTTTACAAAGATGATTTAACATGAACCCATACTCTTGTCAAAATAACAATTTAATTTAGTGACAACGTTGTTGTTTTGCATGAATACATGTTCACTTCCTTGAGCTATTTTACTTAAATGTTTGATAGGAAGGTGAGGCTCCAGCTACTACTGAAGAGGCAAAGAAGAGCAGCCATGTTGTAAGAAAGCTGGAGAAGCGTCAAAAGGAACGCAAGCTTGACTCACATATTGAAGAGCAATTTGGTGGTGGTCGTTTGTTAGCTTGCATCTCATCACGACCTGGTCAGTGTGGTCGTGCTGATGGGTATGTGATCTCCTAATCCTTATATTGTGAAAGCCTTATTCGTTACCCATTGCTTGCATTCCTTTTATCATTTTATACCATGTTTTCATGGGATGAAGAAATGCATAGCCTTTTCTAATGATATTATACACTCATAAGATAGATGCAAGCTATTTGTTGTAATTCCGGCTAGGTTCTAAGCTATATGTGAGACTAATGATAATAATTGCTTTTATCTAAATTTGCATTAATGTAATTGCATATGTAATTGTGGCAGATATATTTTGGAAGGCCGAGAGCTTGAGTTCTATATGAAGAAACTTCAGAGGAAAAAGGGCAAGGGAGCTGCTGCTTAAAATTTTGTTTACTGAACTTCATGATCAATTTTCCTTTCACCTTTGTTTTCTATTTAAGATAATGTTGAACTTGTTATTAAAGTTGTTTCTGAAACCTGTTATTGTTTAATATTTATTTTTGGATACTATCAGTTTTTGCTAGAGTTAATGGCACTCGAGTTGTCTTTAATATGTATGGTTAAATGTTTGAACATTAATTCCTTCCAAACCATGAACTCTTACGTAGGTTAACAGATTTGTTTCCTCTAGTTTAATGTATTTTCGTGATTAATATAAAAAACCCACCTAAAGATACTTTTTACTTCCCCTGATACAAGGTTTGACAGATTGTGGGATTCATAGGATTCAATCGTTGGATTCACTAATAAATATAAATCCTTGTATCAGAAGGTTTGATGGATTGTTCAAGAAATCAATGAACCATGAAATTATGTAATTGTATGATTGAATGTTCTCCGTTGTTAGTACATGGAACTGATCAACAAATGATCTGAGAAAGTACGAACATATATAGGCTCAACTGAGAGCCGAAATTATTTGTCCCATAAGACATAACAATGTCATAACGAACCCTAAACCCTACTGAAAGTGCACACGGGTTCTTCACATTTGCATTAGATTGTTTGTGATTGTGGTTCTATGGTTTGCCATAACCATATTTCTTTCTTAGCCAATCATTGGAGCTTTTATACTAGCTTGTTGAGGAGAAATGTTGGCATAAGACAGATGCATACCAACAGCTAAAAAAGCTCCTCTAGGCTCCAGCTATGAAGCAGCCCATGTTCATTGCCAGCTTCCCGGGCGTTAAAGGAAAGCACGAACCATCTGCCTTCACTGCAACCACAAAGCCAAGGAAGAGATTACAATAACCCAAAGGCATAATAAGAAAACAAAAAAAAAAAAAAAAAAAAAAAAAAAAAAAAAAAAAACGAAAACAATAAATGCCTATGCGCAATGGCAAAATCCCTGATGCATGATACATAGGATTGGTAAAAGATGGCAGCCATGTCTCAGAGGCATTTTATCATACAATTGAGAGGCATTGTTTAACAGAACCATGATGTGATTCATAATTTTGAATGCTTTAAGACTTTCAAAATTCAGCTGTACTGAGTGCTTGTCTTTGTGCATAACATGTAAATATATGCAAAGCAAAGGAAGTTTGTATATAAAAAAGTGAAAGAGCCAAGAACCAAAAATACTTGAGAGTTTGAAAGACCCACCTGCGCAAAGCCTTACCTTGATCACTCCTTGATTGTAGAGATGGCAACGGGGCGGGGAATTCCCCCGTCCCGGCCCGTCCCGGCCCGCCGCTATAGTTATGTAATTACAGAGTTGCCCTCCCTATATATAAACATGTTTCCCCAACCCAACCCTAAACCTCCACGCGAATCGCCGTCTCTCCCCACGCTACCAACGTCTCACCGAATCCTACTAGATTTGATAGAATTCCTTCACTGCTGCCGGCCGACGTCGCCGCGACGCCGTCTGTTTGTCCTACGGTTCTCCAGTTATCGGTTCTCCTGCGTCTTCCGCTTCTCCTCGGCTTCAGTTTTTTAACTATTACAGGTAAGATACGAACAATGTTGATATATATTAATTGATCAATAAACTTAATAATGATGGAGGTGTCTCGTGTGGGTTAGTATCGTTGTTTTAAATAGATTTTATGTGTTTGCTACTTAAGTTGCTTATTGTGACAAGAAAATTGGTAGTTTTCTTCATTGTTTAAAATTGTCATCTCATTCAGAACAGTGTACTTAGTTTTGTCCATAGTTACTGCTTTGTTGACAATTTGGTTATGGTTATATATTAATCAATTCTGCCAAAGTTTTTTAATCTGTTTTCCATTAACAATCTGTTTGCCATTAATTTCAATTTCAATTTTTAAGTACTTTTCTGGGAAACCTACTCTGCGCCACAGCTGACGTATGGAGGAATCAACCTGATGTTTACTCCAAAACTTATATTCTTATGTTAATCTAGAACGAACTCTTGACAACATGAGCTTCCTTCCTTCTTAATTTGTTAAATATAAAGTATTAGACATGTTTCTCATTTGAAATTTTTTTTTTTAGAGACGATCAGATGTTCAAAGAGTTCAATGGCAAACGGTTTGAAATTTTGTTGGCTTTTCCAATTGTTAGTGTCAAATGTCGTTTGATTGTGATAAGAAACTCTGTTTTCTAATCACTATTCCTTCTCTTCTTTGTTGGATGTCATTTTGGACATTTTTTGGAAGATGAGATAATGACATCACTAACATTAAATTTTTATACTATTTTACTAAAAATATTGACCTACAAATAAAGTTCATCATTGGGTTGCGTTTGTCAAAAAGAAGTAACTTGTCACACACGCACAAATTTTTAGATTTCAGAGGCCACAAGTATGGTATGGGGATGATGATTTTAGATAATGGGAAGAGAGAATTCTCCATTGTGAGACTTGTAGATATAAAAAAAATTACTGAAAGAATAATTGGGAAGGGTACAATTTGTCCTGGAAATTGGCAAGCGTTGCATCTCTCTGTTTTTTTTTTTTTTTTTTTTTTTTTTTTTTTTGGGTGAAACTACAACATGATTCTAAGGAATCAGGGTACTTTTCATGTAATCATCATCAATTATATGTATTAATTACTCTAAGTATCATGATTAGATAAAACCAAAATTATCAATGAGTATATATATATATATATAAGGAAGCATGTTGTGCTTGGCCCCATTTACCATTTTCATCAAATTTAATTATATATTTACACATGCTATTGCTTTATCTATTCATGGCGTCACAATTAGGTGTGTATTTTGAATTAAAAACCCCTTTCATAAATATATTACTACATGAGGTGGAAGATTGATAGAAATGGCAATGACGCGGGGATTCCCCGCAAACTTTGTTGAATCTGTTTATTGTTTGTTGAACTTGTTTAGAAAGGTTGAATTTGTTTATTGTGATATCAATTTTTTTTCTCCAAATTTTTAAACTGTATTGTATGATCTATGATGTTCTTTGTAATTAATGCTTTTGCTCATTCTTTTAGGTTTCCAACATGCCAACTCAAAACTCTTTGCCTTGTAAAAGAAAAAACTTAGAAGCGGAGATCAATCAAGATCCGGTTGCAAGTTCTCATTCTTTTACAACTCCGTATCCGATTGGAAGTAATCAACTGCAATCTCCACTTGCAGTTAGTGACGAACCAATACATGTAGTAGATAGTCCTTGTTCAAGCCCTCTCTGGAACTCAAAAAGGAAATTAACCAATTACCATTTTGATCAAGAGGCGGGAGAAAGGGACCTTGCAGCTATGATTATTCTACACGAGTATCCTCTTAGTATGGTTGATCATATAGGTTTTAGAAAATTTTGCAATACTATTCAACCCTTGTTCAAAGTTGTCTCCAGGAACAGTATTAAGAAGGATATTATGAAGATTTATGATGTTGAAAAGGAGAAGTCAATGAAATTGTTAAGCAAGAATCAAGGTAGAATTGCTGTCACTTATGATTTGTGGACTTCCAACAATCAAAACAAAGGTTATATGACCATCACAGCACACTTTATCGATAACAATTGGGTATTACAAAGTCGACTTCTAAGGTATTATCCTTTTTTATTTTATTATTCTTATTTTTTCATACATTCTTTTTAGCTATATTAATATATCAATTATCTATAATTTATATTGTAGGTTTATACGTGTGCCTTGCCAACCTACTAAAGATGTGCTTTCTACAGCGTTGATGGACTGTTTTTATGAGTGGAATATCGATACAAAGTTGTCCACCTTGACGGTTGATAATTGCTCCATTAATGATGCGGTTGTTCAGGATATCTTGGGAGAGCTTCAATGTACCTCGCTTATGCTGCATGGTGATTTGTTTCATATACGTTGTTGTGCGCATGTTTTGAATTTAATTGTTCAGGATGGCTTATCAGTGATTGGAGAACCAATAACAAAAATCCGTGCTAGTATTGCTTATTGGACTGCATCGCCTAAAAGAAAGCAAAAATTTGATGAAGCGGCATGTCAAGCAGGCATTCAAAGTACCAAGAAGTTGACTCTTGACTGTAAGACTCGTTGGAACTCAACTTATTTGATGCTTGAAACTGCATTCATTTATAAAGGAGTATTTACTCATTTAAAGCATTGTGAGCCACATTTTAGATGTTTGCCAAGTGAGGAAGAATGGGAGTTGGCACAACAAATTTTTGAAAAGTTAAATATATTATACGAAACCGCACTCTTATTCTTTGGAACAAAATATCCCACAGCCAATGTTTATTTTCGACAACTTTGTGAAATTAGACTTCAGTTGTCTAGCTGGATTAGATGTGGAAATGATGTGATAAGGAAGATGGCAATGCAGATGGATGAAAAGTTTTCTAAGTATTGGAATGTGATTTATGGTGTTATGGGGGTTGCAATTGTTTTCGATCCTAGATATAAATTGAAGTTGTTAGATTTTGTGTTTCCTTTGATCTATGGAGATGATGCTGCAGATCAAATTATGAAGATTCGAGGATTATGTACTGATTTGTTTTTAGAGTATCAATCTAAGCAAGAAAATTGTCAAGCTCAACCCTCTTTGACTGCGTCTTCTCCTCACTCCGGTGATTCTAGTGGTGAGGGGATCATGGCTGATTTTTATAGGTTTTTGGACAAAGAATCTAGTTTGGACCCAGGACAGTCAGAATTGGAATATTACTTAGAGGAGAGACTTATGCGTATAACTCCTGACTTTGATGTATTGAGTTGGTGGAAGGCAAGTGGGCCTAGATATCCTATCTTACAAAAGATAGCTCAAGATATCCTTTCTATTCCTATCTCCACAGTTACTTCTGAGTTTGCATTTACCATTGGTGGCAAGGTATTGAATCCACATCACAACAAACTTCATTCTGATACTTTAGAGGCATTGGTGTGTTCTAAGAATTGGTTATGGGCTGATTTAAAAGGTAATCAAATAAAATTTTTATTTCTTCAACAATAAAAAATAAAAAAAACTATGAAGATATGTTAGTTTTAATGTATATTTTTTATTCTTATGTCAGATCAAGTTTCTTGTTCGACAATTTACGATGATAGTGATTCGGAAGATGAGGTATTATATATTTCTAGTGTATTTTTTTCTTCTCTTCTCTAATCATTTGTATGATAGGTAATATTAGTCCATTGTTGCATATCAACTAAATTATATTCCTTATTTTTTAATAGGAAATTGCAGGGGCGGATTTATTATGATTTGATTGTAATGATTCATAATCTCAATGAGCTTTAAATCTCGTAAAGCTATCTAATTTTGTTTTATTATATTTTGTATTAGATGATTGTCCAGCATATTCTAATTTTTGTTGATTGCTTTTTGGATTTAATATTCAGTTCATCTCTTGAATATATTTGATGAGTAATGTTCAAAACATTTCCTGATTCATATTGTGAACTTGGTGAACATGTCAGGAATGTAAATCTTCATTTTTATATACTCTAGTTTTCATATTTTCAAAGTGGTATTCTATATCTTCTAATATGTGTCGTATTGTTTTCATTGGTGACAATGTTTTTGATTGATCACTAACCTTGATGTGTACCTTATAGAATTTTGAGGATGAATAAACTACAAGATGTCATTCCTCCAGAGATTTTGGTGAAACTAAAAAGCCTGAATTTTCTGTGAGTAATTTTTTTTCTTTTTTTGTGGGGTTTAAAAATGCTCTCTCCCTTCCTTTTCTTTGTGTGTTGATTCATATATCCTATCTGCATTTATGTGAATCGGACTAAATTTTTTGAAATGCCTACAGGTCCCCATTTCAATATTTTAAGGGTGAAATTCCTAAGGAGCTTGCTAATTTACCGGAGCTTGCTACCTCTACCTTCAAGAAAACCGTTTAATTGGGCGAATTCCCCGAATTCGGGACCTTGCAAAACCTTCGGCATTTGTAATATTCTGCTTTTCTGGGCTGTAGTTTTCTATCAGAATGTTTCTTGTGTATCTCATTCTTGCTCCCTGCTACATTTATTAGCTGGTCTATTTTTCAGCTTCCAATTTATTTGCTAGCTGAGAAATTATTTTTTATGTTTTCAGGGATGTTGGTAACAATCATTTAGTGGGTACGATTCGGGAACTCATCCGATTTGATGGAAGCTTTCCAGTATTGCGCAACCTGTAAGAAAACTGATTGTGGTGAAATCATTTACCTAACATAATTACAAGTTGAATCTGACAGCCATAATTATTCCTGATATGTAGCTACTTGAATAATAACTATTTAACTGGAGGAGTTCCTGCACAGCTAGCAAACTTGACTAATCTGGAAATTCTGTAAGTTTAACTATCTTGTGTATGCTACAGCTTAGGATATATTTCTTATAGCTTTGCTTTATCGATTTCAGTAACATGGAATCTGTTTAATTTGTTATTTGTATTTCCATAGGTATTTATCCTACAACAAAATGTCTGGAGTAATACCATCAGCACTTGCCTACATTCCTAAATTAACATACTTGTGAGTTCCTTTATTCAAGTTTGGACTTCTTTACTTGTCTTTTTACTATTTTTTTTGTTTATAGAATATGGTTCAGAAACTAGATTCAATTCTTTCTTGTTTTGAAAGAAATTCCTGTCAAGTTGTCTGTGTATGATAGATTGCATTTTCCAGAATTAACTGCTGGATGTATTTCTCCTTTTTCTTTTTTCGCTCTTTGGGCAATTTATGTGCTTACCCTTATGTTGATACAACTTCCCTCTTTTAACTTTTTTTCACTCAATGGTTTTAGGTACTTGGATCATAACCAATTTTCAGGAAGGATTCCAGATATATTCTATAGGCATCCTTTCTTGAAAGAAATGTGAGCTGACTTTTGCTTTCTTAAAATGCAGGAAAAATTATTTTGTAAAAACTTATCATTTGGATAAAATATTAAAATGCTCTTAAGCTTTATTGGCTGCTTGCAGGTACATTGAAGGGAATTCATTCCGGCCAGGTGTAAATCCCATAGGTTTGCACAAGGTTCTTGAAGTTTCTGACTCGGATTTTCTAGTTTAGTCGAATCATGTCTTAATTACGTGCTAAGATTATTTTGATCCTCTTGCATCTTCGAAGGAAGTAGAGAGCTACATTCTATTTATATTTTCTTGTCTAGGCAAGTAGGTGTCCTGATTTAGCATATTTTATGCTATTTAAAATTTTTGAGTTGCTTATATATATATATTTGCTGGTATCAAAGATGACATCTTGTAAGTCGAGAACCAGCTTTTCGAATAGCTCACACAATATTGATGATTATAGTAAATTTGAACATTGAAATAATCTGTATTGATCCCCATGGTTGTAATCTCTTTGTTAAATGATAGTTTCATTTTACTGATTAGTGATTTGTGTTATAAAAGGATTCCATCAACTAGAAGTAGAACTTTCAATGCTTCTATCAGCTTTACCTATCGAGATCAGCAGAACTTCTCAACTGTTTTAAATTACAGTTGTAATATTCCATGTGAATCAGATCTAAAGAAAATCTCTATTATCATAATCTGTAATGTGCGATTATAATATGCGTCTTATAACTACAAAGACAAACTATTATTACACAATTATAGATACAATTGCTCAAAACTACAATACCATAGACTTAAAAATCTTCTTAACCAAGAAGCTGGACTTGTTACTACTGTTCCCTCTCCTTATTTCTTTCTTTCTTTCGAGGAGAGTGCAACAAACAATATATTGTCATTCTCGTAGGCAAGTTGGAGCGTCAAAGTTCGGGAATACTATGAATGCAATTGATAAAGGAGCAATATATATTGGTGAATTTACATGAACACGAACTGGATTCAATCTTGGGATGCCTCCATCCTTGGTCAGCTCTAGTGGAATTCCATTTAGAACCATTGTCTGGCTTTTGAGGTACCCGTCTTTTGGAGTTAAATGGTACTCCTCTCTGAATAATGGTTCTTCGGATGATTTGCCACCAACCCACGAAACTGTTTTCTTAAGACTTCGCATCAATGAACTTTCCCTATTGATGTCTTTACCCCCCACAACCAATTTCATGTTCATACTATTTTGAACGGAGGCCGTGTACTCAGTCTGATTACTTAAATTGATCAGGAGAACAGTTATTCCCTCCTGCAACAAAAAAAATAGAATAGTCAAGAGGTTGTGAATTAAGATCAATCTATATCAGATATTTTAATTGAGTAATACAGGCCCTAAATATAATGTTCAGAGTGGCGCAGCGGAAGCGTGGTAGCATAACCCACAGGTCCCAGGATCAAAATCTGGCTCCGATAGAGGGGCTTCAGAAGTTCCGTTAAAAAAAATGTAATGTTCTTTTCAGGAGCAGGTTTTAGAGCTAGCGATGTGGGACGTGACACATAATATGGTTAGTTGAAATGGAAACATGTAAAAAAATGTAGAATAATACTACACATACATCATTTTTATACAACATTTTCCATACAACATTACGTGACAAGATATGATTGGGTGAAAGTTTAATTTTAACTTTAAATTAGCTAATCATATCTTGCCACATAATGTTGTATGGGAAATGTTATATAAAAATGATGTATATGTAGTATTACTCAAAAATGTAATGTTCTTTTTCAGGGGCAGGTTTTAGAGCCAGCAATATGGGACGTGACACATAGTATGGTTACCTGAAATTGTAGTAAACTATTGTATGCAAATGCAATAGTTAAAATCTAACAAAATTTGGGTATGAATATGCCCAAACTTTAAATCCAGTTGCTTCCATGAAGATCTTATTATCTGATACCTCATGCTCTGAAAATTTAAATATCACTGATGCCCTAATAGTTTTAACCCCTACATTGCCCCAATATTCTCCCCTAACCAACAAGCTGTAGTAAAATTAAATAAAAGAAGAGCCTTACTCTCCCCTTTGAACAGTGGGCATAAGCTCGTAGATATGAAGAGGCATCAGTAGCAACAGCTAGAACACCTTTTCCCATAAGTCGATGCCATAGCAGGGCACTGTTTATTAACCATATATCCAACAAAATAAAGAACTCTGGTTAGATAAATTAGCATAAAATAACATATAAATTGCTGCAATAACTTTTTCTCGTCAAGTTCCTGAAAACCTCAAATTTCATGTTCTTGCCTGTAATAATCAGGGTTGGGGACAAATGTGGTTGTATTGAGTAGACCGTAGTTCCCACCAATTAAAGTCTGCCTACAATATACTTTAGTATTGTACTTGGAAGCCATTCCAAGCTGATCTAAGTACCTGAGAAAATATGGAAACCAAATAAGATTTGTGCTAATATTAGTTATAAATAAATGATTGGCTCAAAACATAAATTTGTCTTTCACTATGATAAGAAACATTAGCTACAATGATGAAAAATAATGAAAGCCATCAGGCCACCGATGTTACCAAAAGCTGTTCACAAATGTGTTAGACACAAGACGACCACCACTGTTATAGGCCCCGCCAGATTCTCCAACCCATGCAGAAGCCCAAGGGCCATTTTTTTCAATAGTTTGTTTAAGATTGCTGAATGTTTCTGATATACGGCTTAAGTGATGGGGGTCCAGTATCTTACTCACAAGATTGGGATCAGCACCTGAAAACGGAGAGAGGAACAATAAATAGAGACATCCAAGTGTACATGTTTACATCTTGACAATTCTTGGATTTTTCAGAATTAAAAAAATAGAAACTAGAGGTTCTGAAATGTTATCCATTCATCGGAAATTCTCATTTTCAAATTTAACATATATGATTTACCTATAGGGAAGAAATAATAAACTAAACCAAAAAAATGAAGAAAAACATTTTCTTTTTTGTGTTTGCCGTGTCAGGTATCAGGCTTAAGTCTCAGCAACCACATTAATATAAAGCAAAAGATAAGAGTTTCGACAGAATCCAAACACAACTTATTATATCTTAGTTAACACAACAGAAGGATTCAAACACAGACCATTTGGCATAAAAGATTAAGCTCATAGGTGATGATTCAACAATAATAGTTTTTGCACTAGCAAAATTAGTTTTCTAGCATATATAAGACCAGTTAATACATGATATTTCCGCAAATAGCACGCAAGCAGTATGTTTATATATCAAATGTGTAAAACAAAAAAGGAAATAACTCACTACCATGCTAGCTCACCTGCACCCAAATTGTATATATGATGAGTCACAGTATTAACTACACCTGAACCTGAGACCTGGAGAAGCTTAGAGAACCACCTTTCCTCAAAGAATCCTCCAGGTGCCACAAGCAATGGTTTCAAGGACGAGTCTCTGTATAGAATACTGACAATATTCTTAAGGTTGATCAAGTCTTTCCCATATAGTTCAGCATCAACACTTGCACCAACACCGCTTCCACTCAACTCATTACCTGTAACAAGAAAGCAAGAAAAGAGGTCATAAGGAAATAAAAGCAAAATGAAAAAACCAGGTGTGCTTTGTCTTAACCACGTTAAATACCAAATTCCCATGAGTCAATATGGTATCCCTTCGAAATAGTATATTTCATAAAATCACGAGCATTGCTAGGATCCCAAGCTCCTCCCCAAACACCCTTCTTAATTTGATGCCTCCCATACAGTGCATTCAAGCCAAATGTTACTATGGCCCTGAAAATTTAAGATTAAACAAACAATCACAGCAGAAGCATTGTGGGTACAAACATGAAAATTTAACATAAACTGAAAAAATTAAATTGGCATAACATAAAGGAAAAGCAACAAAAGATAAAATAAAATCCAGATGATGGATTTTAATTCAGAATCAAATATTTGATGTGATAAGAAAATAGAATGGAGAGCAAGCACCATAAAGTGCTGAAAGAAGGATTTTTGTCCAAAATTTTATTCAGGAAAAACAAGATCAGATTCAAAATAGAGTTTTTCACTTCAAAGAAGCTTAAACAGAAGCAGATTTGGCAATGCACATTTGAATAAAAGTAAAAAAACTTGAAAGAGAAAGGTTTTTAATAAAAAAATCTTCCAAATTTATCAAGTACATTAGAATAGTCATGGTTTGAGCTTAATAATATAAATATTACCATATTTAGACAAACCCTAGTGCCACCAACAGGACAGTTAATCGTACACTATCAACATCACTAGCCTATGTAAAGCACCTTGGCATGTAAACATCAGAATTTGCTTATGGATAATACAGATTGACATATGATTATAAAAGAAAATGCTTCATAACTTACCCTGTTGAATTAAATAGATGGTTCAGCTTATCCCACCTATCCATATGTAAACATCCCTTTGAAAACCCAAACAGTCCATCTTTCATCTTTCTGAATGGATGGCAAGGAGCCTTCAAATCTCCAACATCATACAACACTTGGTCTTGCAATGAACCTCCAAGTCTTATCCTCAAACTCTTGAAAGCTGTCATACCACCAATGTTTAAAAGGTCATATCAAGTCCCCAGATAAAACTATTCATCAAGATGCCAATTAAATTTAACAAGATAGTTTACTCATCAAACTTAAACTATACTAGATTACCATGGCAACAGCATTTTATTTTCTAGATGGCAGAAATATACCTTGGAAAGCTTTGGTTAGCAATGGATGAGATAAGTCCTGAAAGAAACAAATTCCATTGAGCTATTATCCTCAAAATTTTAAAAACTGTGCAAATAATCACAAGAAAGCTAAATTTTATCTCAAAAAGAGGTATAGTTTTCCAAGGCCTCACCAAATTTATGGCAGATGTATAATGCCACGGACATTGATCATAGTTACACTTATCATGAGGCCACCAATCTAAAGTAGCACAGATAAAATTTTCATCATTCATGGCAATTGTTGTAGTTCCATCAACTAAGATTGTAGGATGTGTCACTTCTTGAGCCAAAATTGCAGGGAGAGAAAACAGAAAGAAAAAAGAGAGGAAGATCCTCATGGTAAATCTGTCAAAGCAGTCTCACCAGCAACTCAAGTATTCACATGAACTGCAAGCAAATAAGAAAAATAAATTAGAGGAAGCTCTTCTAAAAGATCTTGTGCTGTTAGTCCATGTTTGTCAAAGAAGGAATGACAGTAAGCAATGTCAAGCTCACTGCATAGCATAAGGAAATAGAGTTTGCCATGCCCATTTGTCACCAAACAGCAGAACTTAACTTTCATCCTTTCTTGTTATTATGAACATGAAAGTAATCAAAAGCCAACATTGAGTTTAAATATCTTTGAAAAGAACAGAAAAGTAGAACAAATGCCAAAACGCGTATGCCACAAATTGAACAGGTATATATCAAATAAAATTTAAACTATAAGGTACTGAAATATTTTTCTTCTATGATTGAAATATTTGGTCATTTAAAACGATAAGAACTCTCCTAAACCAGAGAAATGGAATTGAAATCTTAAAACTTGAAAAGCGATTTAATGGAAGAAAGTTGATGTCTCTAAGTTTGCTGCAATCACCAGAAGCAAAAACAACTCCACACAAAGATTGTTACAATTTTTCAGTAGAAACCAAACGAAAAATTTAATAAAAGGGGGTCCCCTGATCAAAATATAAATTCAGCACTTAAATATTGAAAGAGAATAAGTACAACAGGATCATTTCTCTCAACTCAAATCTGTGTGTTATATAGCTTATGAATCTAGCATGAATATCTAAAAATTGTAATCCCAAAATATAATGTCACAAGAGAAACCGAATGAAAAGTATCAAAACAAGGTCCCCAGATGGAAATATAAACCAGCACACTGATACTTATATAGAATAAGTAAAACTGGGTAAATTCTCTAAACTCAAAATCCTCTAGTTATAGCCCACGAATCTAGGAATCGTTATCCCAGAATATAAAGCAAAATGCAGCGCAAGAAAGAAAGAGTTGTGAAGTAAAACTATACACAACAGATCACCAATATCATTGATACACAGTTCGAGATGTAGGATGAGGAAGCCAGTTCATGATGAGGTTCTTCTATCTAATCCATTATCCGATGGTTCTCATTCTCATCTATCAAACACTACCAACTCACCTACTACGGTCGTTTTCAGTATGAACTCGAAGCCACTCAAACCCCAAATCAAGAAAAATCAAGAACAAACTAGTAATACAGAAACCATATTCACAATTTCACAACTTTGCATTACAATATGGAAAGCTCTAGCTTAAAAAACTCATTCCATAAAACCCAGTACACACACAAATCTAAAGCCATCCACAACAAAATTCACAAAAACAAGACCAACCCAGATGAGAACTAACCTCAAACACAGAAAGTTTAAAATGAACAACAAAACAGAAGCTCAATCCAGCCGCAAGTATCCCACTTATTTCACGTAAACCAAACCAAAAAGGAACGTGGTTTAGTTAACCAGAAGGGGAGCTATTTCTCACCTTATCTTGGCATTGAAGACACCAGTCACATCAAAAGACAAGACAGGCACTGCATATGGGTGTTGAAATGGATGAGTCATAGATTTGTCGGTTTTGGGTAAAAATGCATATAAATTTAGCGAAAGCATCAAACTTTTTGTGGGGTTAGTTGAGTAAATCAGTTAAGTATCTTCATCGAGAAAAGTTTAATAAAAAAAATTGTATTATGGAAAAGGTGTGGACGTGTGTACATTGATGTTTTAAGGGTTGCTGGTATTTGAAGTTGTTTTAAACAGGTATGTTTTATCTTCAACTTCAAGTTATGCCTTCAACAATTTTCACTTTTCTGAATTCAGGTTTTGCTTGTTGTGGCCTTGTGGGTGCCAACTTTCAAGATTGTCCTTTTCTCAATTCACCTTTATGATTTTTCTTCCATCACTTCACAATTCATTTTCATATTATTGATAATTGATATCATGAAGATTTCTAACTTGGCCATTAATATATCATCCTACTATGAAGAGGAGGACTCGGAATGCATCCCTAAACCTTTAGGGTCTGTTTTAGGGTTTTATGGTAAAAGTTATGAAGATAAATTATCGTAGTGGTTTTAAAAAGTTTTTAGTAGCAGTTTTTAAAACACTTAACATGTATTTGGGAGTTTATTTTTCAATGATTCTGACAGTTTTTTAAAATGATAAATTTATATCTATACGTATAAAAATATCTCAACTTCAACCAATACTTCATTCTGAAAAACGAATTAGGAATAACAGTTGAAATTATGTCATATGTTCGAGTTTAGAAGGAAGTGTTTTGAACCCGATTATAAGTGGATTAAAAATAAGAATCCAACAATACAAGTCAAAAGTGTTACAGTACAATTTGTAAACCAAAATCGTAAATAATTACATTCATTATAAATAATAAATTAATTAAAATATTGAACATTTTAATGTGTTTTATTAGAGTACACGTTAAAACTAAACAAATCATTGTTTTTTTTTTTTTTTTAGTACCATTGACATAATCAATTTTATAAGATAATGAATTAATGATAATACATTTTTTTTTTTTCCAATGAGATTTTAACATGTAAGCATGGGCTTGTTATATTGCATGTATCAATAAATATTAGTTCACAACTTAATCTTATAATTTTTTTTTCATAACCCAGATATAGCAGCTCGCAATTAGGTAGACGAGACCTATTTACGAACTGATCAATTACGAATTATCACGTCAGGGTTATGAGAAAAATTTTATGAAATTGGGTTGTATATGTAGTATTGCTTTATTGGTATTTAACAAGTGTTAAATGTGAAAAGTTTAGTTAACCATTTTGATTTAAATAAGTGGTCAATGATTAGTATTTAAGTGCATAAATGAAGACAAACTTTGTCAAGATTAGTCAACACTAATGGCCTACCTTGAGGATTAGCCTACTCAAAAATTATTTTTTTAGTTTATTTAAAGATTAAATTAATTCATTAAGTTTTATTATATTTGATTATTCAATGTTAGATGGGGCATAAACCAAATCCATTGTTCATAGTTTATAAAAATGGATTTGGTTTAAAAATTATAATTAATTTATATATGAAATTTACGGTTGAACTAATGTTATATTAAAGAGTGATGGGGCATGTGATTATCCCAAAAGATAAAAAATAAAAAGAATGAAATTGTACCAAAACTATCTCCGGGTAGTCAAATGGTTTGATAGAGACTATTAAATATATTACTCAAGAGGTTCTAATTTCAAATTCCTCATCGAGTACTAATAGGAGTACCAATGGAGTTCTGATCCTACCGGTTTAAAAATCTCAAAAGGTTAGTTGTAAACTTGAATTAAGTGTAAGCTGATCGAATAATCATTTAAAAAAAAAAAAAAAAAATCTCACCTATCTTTGAAACAACAGCTCATCATCATATATTATATTGTAATTTTTTGTTTGGACACATTTCCTTTTGATCCAACTTTTTAAATGCTTTTTTTTGACAGCTTAAAAGTTAGCTGCAAATATCATTTACCTTTTTCCCTTTCTTTATTTACATTTAATATCCATTACTTTCCTAATCAAACTTTGATATTTACTTAATCCTTTAATTACTTTTAAGCTTTTTATATATTTAATAAATTATTAGAAATATTTTATGCTATATTTGCAAACTATAAAGGGTGATCAAGTGGTTCAATAGAAATACTTGAATGTATTACTCAAAAGGTCCTGAGTTTGAATCCCTCTTCAGTTGTTAATAGGAATAGTCACTGAAATTTTTACCCGACTAGTAGTTCTAGAGTCCTGAAATATTACTTGAGGTGCGTGTAAGTTAGTCTGAATACATTTAATCATAAAAAAAAAAAATGATTTTAAAGCCACACCTAATAAAAATATTAATGTTAAATTGAGTCAGTATCACAATTAGGAAGATTTATGGATATAATTGTTATATTTGTATGGTTGAATTCTAAAAATTTGTAAAAATAAACTTTTTGTTATAAATCAAATTTTTATCATTAATACTTACAAATTCATCCTTAAAAATAGAGATCAATGTTGATTTACGAATTCATTATTCGTGGTTATAAAAATTATTTCACGTTATAAAATTATATTGAGTATATGATTCTCAAAGATTCATTTTACAATTTTAATAATATTATTATAGCGTTACATTAAACTGCGAACTTGTTATACGAGGCATAATATTATTTTTAAGGTTAATCACATTGTCACCTATGAGGTTTAGTATAAATTTTTTTTTTTTTTCAGTTTTGAGAAACTATCAAACTAACATTGTCACCCTCAAATGGAAATTCTGTTTGTTAAATGTATCAAGTAGAAAACCATAAACCATATATAAAATAATACTACACTTACAAAAATTATATATAATAATTCATATAAAGTGATGTAGCGTATTCTTGAATTGACATATCATTAACTATCATTTAATGTGCATTTGTTAACTAGAATTTTTATCCCTAAAGTCACTATGTTTAATTGACAAAAATGTCATTTGGGGGTGGTGGAGTTATTTTCTCAAAAAATAGGGGGGGGAGAGATGTTTTTCTCACCAAACCTCCATGTAGCAATTAACCCTTAGGGTGCATTTGGTTAATTAAACTTTTAGGGTGCGTTTGGTTCAAAATGTTATATTAATGAAAAAATAGATTACCTTCAAATAATTGAGAATGTTTAGGGAAATGTGTTTGGTTGATTAGAAAAAACTTGGTGGGTATATTATATTAATATGTTTGGTTGGAAGGAATAAATTGGTGGGTATGTTATGTAAATTACTAAATTGTCCGCTTTTTAAATATTAATATAATATATTTTTATTATTAATTTTTGAATAATTTCTTTTAACCACCAACATTTTAGATTCAGCAAAAACACCCCAGCAACAAAAAAAGTTTAAATCTTAACAAAAACACCCTAGCCACCTTCCCAAGACTGCTGGCCACTGGCCGCCGTCAACAATCGCCTGAATGGTGCACGACTAGCCATATTTGGTTGGACGTGCGTTGTTAAGGTCATTTCCGACCATGGATCACATATCTTGATCCATGGCCGGAAAAGGCCTTATCGGTGCACAGTCAGTTAGATCCAACCAACCATGTATTGTTCCGGTGACTGCCGACGGCCGGCAGTCCTCTTGGGTGGCTAGGGATGACTGTGGTCTTGGGTAATTTGGTTGAAGTACAAGGGTAATTTTGTCTTAAAAATCTTGAGTATAAGGCTAAAATTGTCCATAAATTTATTGTAAATTATTCAGATAAGAAGGGCATTATTGTCTTAAAATTTGATTAATAAGGAGTAAAATTATAACAAAAATGAGATTACTAAGTAATCTTAAAATACATAGGAAAATAGAGGTAATCAAATTAACTCTTATGAGTGCGTTTAGATTGGGGGCATATAAGATAACGAGGGTAATCTTCGTTTATTTTGTAAGATTCTGGTGTTTGATTTGCTAGTAATAAAACATTACGGACATCTTTGATTGCAAATAGTGTTTATTGTTGGTAATGTAGGGGGTAATCCAATACTCTCCCCCACCTTTGGGATTAAAAGATTACCAGGTAATATGATTTTTATACTTATGCTGCCTTTAATTAAATACCATTTCGAACATAATTACGCTTAAATGTCTACCGAATAACAATTACCCAACCCCCCTACATTTGAGAAATTACCTAAAACACCCCAACCACAAAAAAGTTTAAAAGTTAACAAAATACTCTCAGTCATCCAAGACCACCGTCGATCGGTACTCACCACCGCCGACTGCTGGCGTCAGTCACCATAATGGTGGACGACTGGTGTGATATGGTCGGTTGTGCGCTAGTAAGGCCTTCTTCGGTCGAAAACGGCCAAATCTGTGATCCATTATCGGAAACGGTTAGATTTGGTTGTTTCTATAGTCGTTTTATAACCAAAAGATGTGAATTTGTGATCCATGGCCAAAAATGGATTTGTCGGTGCATGGCTGGCCATACACAGCCAGTCGTGCGCCATTCCGTTGACTGCCGACGGTGGTGGCTGGCTGGCTACGGGCAGTGGCTTGGGGGGGGGGGGGGTGACTTTGCTATAAATTAAAGTTTTATATGGCTGGGGTGTTTTAGCAAAATTTCAAATGTAAGGGGTTAAAAAATGGTTTAAAAAATAATAAAAAATAATATTATATTAATATTTGAAAAATGAGGGCAATTTAGTAATCTATATAACATATCCACCTATTTATCCTTCCAACCAAATATATTATTCACCAATTTATTCGAACCAACCAAACACATTTTCCAAACATTCCCAATAATATTCAAGATGATCTATCTTTCCGTTAATATAACATCCCCTTACAATAAAACATTGGGGGCGTCTGGTTGGAGGTAATGGAAGATTATTGGAGTTATGTCATCTTATATTATTTGATTATCATGTTTGGTTGTCAAGTAATATAAGATTTCGGTAATCTTGCATTACCAATAGTTGTTACTGTTAATAATATTGGAGGTAATCTAATTACCTCAATTTTCTTAGGTATTATAAGATTACCAAGGTAATCTTATTTTTGTTATAATTATATCCCTTATTAATAAAAATTTTGGACAATAATGCCCTATTTTAAAATAAATTTACATTAATATACCCTTTCAATTTT